AGAGAGAGAGAGAGACAAACAAGAGTATCAAGGGTGAGGATGTGATTGAATACAACACCCTGACCATGGCTGCCCTCCCCGAGCACTTATCGATTATCACAGACAGAAATCATCTTCAGATCACTGGCCAGTCAGGACCAGCAACCCAAACGCTAATATTCTCAATAAATGTTGTGTTTATGGGGTTCATCACTTCAAAAAGCAACTGTGGCATGTAAGGTTGAATCCAAGGCGTAACATTATGGGGAGAAGAGTCTCCCAGTAACCTTTAAGGATGATATAACTATATACTAAATGCTACTATGTGAACTGTTATAGTAGCATAAGTGACACTGTGGTGAGTTATATCTATAATCAGAGCTGAAGCTATATTATCATCAACATAAAACCTGATAATCAAGTCATTTTTTTCAAGTTAAAATAGCAACCATCCTCTTATTTGTGAGGATTTGTGGCTTTGTGTTGTCTTATGTAACATATAAAATGTCCTTTGGTTTCTAAATGTTTAGTTAGACATTTGAAGATAATGAGAGTAGATGAGGTACTTTGGGTATTAGAACATTTTGATGGGTGATTTTCACTATTTGCTGTCAGTCTACATCTTAAATCAAACGATTCATTGATTAATCGATAATAAAAAACATTCTTTAGTTGCAGAACTAACTACTAAATTACTAATGTTTAAACTAGTTATTTACCCACTTATTCACATTGTCCCACCAATATAACTGTAGCCTAATTTCAAACACCTGTCCCGCTAATTGCCCTGTCTGCCATTACGTGAACTTTGACTAACTAGTCAAAAATAAATAAAATAATACAAACAACCGACATAAAGCTACTGAATATACAGCAGAACTTAACCGAAAATACCTAAATGGCGACGAAGTTGTTGGACGGACGGTGGGCCCTCTCCTCGACAACTTCAAACAACAAACATTTCCAAGAACCAAGTAGTTGTTTGTTTGTTTTTCTCTCCATCTTTTTCTTTTTCATGTCCCTACCTTTTCCGCCGAGAGCGCAGGAGTGGCCCCAGATGAGCCAAAGCAGCAAAAAAGGGACCCCGAGTATGTGCATGGTTGTCGAGCTGTGTGGGTGATGTCTCCCCGTCCTCTCCTCTTCTCAAATCCTGGATCACCTCCCGAGCGCGAGGAGGTTTTCAGCTGGCGAGGGACAGTCGGTGGGGTAGAGAGACAGCCACTGTGTACAGAGAGAGAGAGAGGGAGAG